AGTTGTTAAAATACAGATTCCTGAATCCCAACTAAGAAGTGCTAAACTTAGAATTTTGGGGAACATATAGGTAAAATTGTATACTTAACTAGTGCTCTAAGACAGAGCTCTGCTGGCAAAGCACTAAGTTAAGTATACAATTTTATCTATATGGTCCCAAAAATTCTAGTTTAGCACTTCTTAGTTGGAATTCAGGAATCAGGAATCTGTATTTTAACAACTCCCACCAGGTGTTTCTCATCATGAGAGAAGTTTGGGAAACACTGATCTAAGACATATTTAAAAGATAAACTTCATTCATTCAACAAATACTTATTCCGTGCTTATTATGCACCTACAACTTCTCACATTTATTAAAAGTAGGGAATAAACCAAAGTTGATAAAAATGTCCCTTGAATAACTCAGCTAATTTAAGCATTTTGGTCCCCCCCTCCCTCCATTAGTGCTGCCTTGTGGTAGGTATGGGGGTAGAAATGAAAGGAAAACAAGAATACTGTTGGAAGAAGTTAATGATGTGAGGCAAGATTGGGTGAGATGAAATTCTGATTAATGGTGAAGAGCTAGGGACAGAGAACAGGATGCTCATTGATAATTTTTAATTAACACATTTGATTCTTCATCAGACACAGAACAAACATAGTTAAAAGTGTACTACTCAGTGTCTTTCCCTTGCTCCCTCTCCTCCCCTCCCTTCTTTCTCCTCTTCCTCTACCTTCTTTTTACCTCTTCCTCCCCTCTCTCCTTTACTCTCTTTCAATTTCTCTCTCTCTCTCTACCTCCCCCCCACCAGCTTATTTTACTTCTGAGGGAAATGAAGAATTTTCAGACAGTAGCTGCAGTGTGAATCTCTGAGTACAGTTCTGTCAAGTTGCTAAGCTCCCTCCTACTCAACAGACTTCATTCCCCAAATGCTTTTGTAATGCATTTGAAGGAGCCCTCATCTGTGGGTACTTAACTGTCCTACTCAAGCTCCAGAGGCTTTGTTTCAATAATATCTATCAGAGGCTGCGTGGTGGAATGAAAAGAACACTGAACTTGGAGTTACTATGTGACCTTGGACAAGGCCTTTGTTCTTTTGGGGTCTCAGTGTCCATATCTATAAAAGAAGGGGCTCCCAAGTGTGCTTTACTTAATTCCACTACATGAAGCTGTTCTAGAATAGGAATAACTATTGCACGTATGTCAACTCTGTTACGTTATTTTAAGAAAAAAAATAAGCAAACACAAACAAAAGAGAGAATATGAGAAGCAAGAATAACTGTCAAAAGTCACAATTATTTAACAGGAAACTGGTTCTGTGCAACCTTCCTATATCTAGCTAAATACGCACACAGTCTCATTTACAAGACACTATTCTTAGGCTCAGTGCACATACATTTAAATAAGTACTAAAAGCAAAACTCAACTGCTAACCACATGGTTGAAATATAAGTGAAATAAACCACAAATGAAAACCGAGCCTATATAAGCAATACATTTGGGCTGTTTTCAATTGCTTCTCCACAGAAACCAAATTTTCACAAAATTTTACCATCATGAACTGACTCTCTTTGTGGGAAAGTGAACTCCAACACGATTCAAAGGACTGTGCACCTATGGGTTATTTACATCTTTAACCTACATTCGGTAATCTCAGTCGTGCTATTTTTGATCACACAAGAGCCTTAATCATTGGCACAGTCTTGGTTTCAACAACAGGTGACATTTCAAAATAAGAACTTAATCCTTTTGGCACGCAATCAAATCAGAGAACACTCACACTTGAAGGACTAGTTTCATCTTTCACTTATAGATGGGAATGCTAAGGCCTAGATTGATAGAATGACTAGTCAGAAGTCCTGTGATTGATGGCAAAGCCAGAACTGGAATTTCTACAGATTTCCAGTTTAATGCCCTACCCATCGTATCATTTAGTTCAAACGAATGTCTATATACTGAGTGTTTATTCCATACTCTCCCGTCCTATTAATTGGTATATTTGTTTACAAGTTATTCTTCTTAAGGGCACTTTCTTTTACTCTCCCTCCTCAGCCTCTTTGTAAACGGTCCCTTTCCAGGTTCCAGTGCCTTAGTTTGCCAATCAAATGGTCCCTTCCTGCCAGTTTTTGAACATTGACAGGAGGAATTTAAGGCTCAATTCACCACAACCACAACTCAAATAATTTCTAATATCTCCACATTTCAGTTAGGGGTCACAAATTACTCATGTGGGACCATAGCTGCTGCTACCGTGGGAGGCCCATGGTTTGGTGTCTCCAACTCATGTAGCTAAACCCAATCCAACCTCTGATTGCCATTGTGTACTGTTGGTTTGGTAAATAAAAGCAGATAAAAAGACGTTCCTGTGAACCTGAAGGAAGGCAAAAACACTGCCCAAATTCCAGAGTTTGTTGCACACGTGTGCTTCTATTCAAAATCCACTTCCCTCTCAGATTGAAGGGCCTTCCCTAATCTCAGTGTTTGAATGGTGGTGACACCATCATGTTCATTCTTTTGGGCCTCGTTTGACTCCTCTATTTCCTCCTGGAGTTTGACTATCAGAACACAAGTTGTCCCAGAGGTCTACAGTGGATGTCTTCCCTAGTGGGACCGTCCATTTTGTGTTGTATCCTGTCTCCACTACAATATGATCCTAACATTTTGTGCGACTATGGTTCATTGAGCTGCTATCTTCAGAAAACATCAGATCTCTTTCCTAGAGGTAATTCCTAGTTCTGTATTAGCAGCTATTGAAGGGCATTATCATAGTCCTGTGCACATTATAGCTCATCTACCCTTTTCTCTCCTCACTCACCTAGGTCTTCATGTGGTTTAGCATGTCCAACTCAGCATTTCAAATTGCCTGTGTCTCTCATGAATTTGAGTAACTTCATAGGGCGCTTTCACTACCAGCTTTACTGGTGAACATTTCGAGTAAAAACATAGGATCTTGGATTTTGGGTAGCCTTAATTAGGTGCTCAGACCAGTATCAGTTCACATTCCTCCAGTAGTGGAAAATTCATCACTTTCTTAGAAAGATCTTTCCATTTTGGACAACTCTTACTACAAGAGAATGTAAAGCCAAAATGTGCTTTCTTATACCTGTCACCCAGTAGATCTAGTGACCCCCACTTGGGACCCTAAGGAACATGTGCTGTCCCTCTTTTATATGCAGCTTTAAGGTCATGTATTTGAAGACCTCGGTGAATCCTCTCCACATCTTTTGCCTTTGCCTGTGTCCTCTTTTCCTTAAATTAAGCATCCCCAGTTCCTATGGAGCAGTGCTCATATTAATGCCACTTCATCTGTATATCTGCCTATTTGTTCCTTCTCTGCTTTACCCTTTAAGTCAGGACTCTAATCATACAAAAATGAATTTAGTTTTTAAACATCCTTTGGTGTAGACTTTCTTCAAAAGCTTCCCATCATTTCATTCATTCATTCAGCACTTATTGTTAGTCATTGCACTTCATGATAGAAATGCAACATCGAAATAAACGCAGCCATGACCTTGACTAGCTCATGGTTCAGGAAGGAACAAGAGACATAAGTGAAGCATGGTAAGCATTAGAACAGAGGTGTACTCAGAGCAGTGGTGACACAACAGGGGAGTGACTGGGAATCAGGACACAGTTGCACAGAGGAAATGCTAAAACGTGGTCTTGAAGAAAGAATAGGAATTCACCAAAAAGAGGGGAAGGGTATCCCACACAGAAGAAACAATATATGCTAAAATGCATGGAAGTTCAATAGGATACCCTCTCTTACAGAGCTATTTGGGGTGGTCTGAATGGGAGGTGCAAGGTAAGGAATGGAAAGATGAATATCTAAGGCTCAGGACCTAGCAGTTCACATCCCATTCAGCCCACCAAGGACAGAGACCATTTGTTTAGTTGATACCCATCAGCCAAACTAAGCAAGAGGCTATTTCAACTGATGAGTTGTGATTTTCATTTGGGGTTAATAGGTAAATGAGGCACAGTCTTCCTAACTAACAGCTAATGGGTCTAATGAAAGTTAACCGATCAGGTGGGATTTTGCATACTTCAGAAAGGCTGGTGACTCTCTGCTCTGAATGACACAGCTCAGTGATCCAAATAGCAACATCACATAGAAGAGGAAGCACGTTTAGTGTCCCCACTTGTGTTCCCAAATTCTCTTCTATGTGTGGAGGCAAAGAAGGTCCAGGTAGCATATCCCCACCCGGTCTGGGCAGTGCCCTCTGTTCTGTGCCTCTATGGGTCCAGTTCTCCCTCTTGCCCAAACCTTGTCTGCTGGAGGACTGGAGACGGTTGGATCAGACACTTCTCCTTTTGAATGTTCCTCTTCTCCCTCTCCTGCAGGCGCACCTGCTGTGGTGCTGCACAGAGCCCCCAGAAGGGGTGCATTCTTGGGTGAAGTGGGGTTGGGGTGGTGAGGAAGGTCCAGAGAACCTAGTTACTCCACCTCTCCTTCCTCACTCTGTAGCCCCCAAAGCAATTCCAGAGAGCCTTAGGAATACTCGAAGTTCCACCCATCTCTCAGATTCTTGCTGAGACTTGCTAGGACTAAAGTTCACTGGCACGAGAGCTACCTGGTTAGGGCACTGATGTCACCCCAAGCAGCAAAGCTAGTTAACTTCATGTTCACAGTCCTGGTCACTAGAGATTATCCTCATTTCAGAATGAGTTGCCTTCAAGATGAATAGAAAGGCCGTATCAATTTAAAGCTCTATAGATACAACTAGTATTGAAAAACCAATGGGCAAGCATTCGTTTTACCATGTTTACATAATATGAAGTGTAATAGGCTTTGTGAGGAATTCAGAGATAAGTTAGAATGGTCATTGCCCCTTGGGCCTTAGAATCTAGTTGGGGAAACAAACCATAAGCAGATTTATATGTTATTTTTGTGTGTTTTTTTCTTTTCTTTTTGAATTTACAATTTCTGCTGTTCTACATCCCCCCATTCCTGCCCCTTGTATGTGTTTTTAGGTTGGTTCTTCCAAGTGGATAAAAACAGGCATTAACATAACAGGAAATGGCAGAGATGGCAGATTTTGTGATCCAGGAGCCACATCCAGGTAACATCCCTACTGTATAGCCTGATGGAGTAAACAGAACGATGTACCATTATATAATCAAGGGCAAATGGGTTGAGATTGTTTAACTATAGTCATTGTTCCCTGTTCTTTATTCAGAAGTTACTTTCTCATGATGCCTTTTCATTGTGAATGAAGGTAAATTACTTCACCAACAACTAAATTACCCTGTTCATAATACAGTGAAGTGTCTAACCAACAATTAAATTTAGACCTCCCTCCCCTTTTATTTTGTATTTTATTTTTTTCTCATTTTTTTAATTAAGGTATTATATGTGCACATACCTTACCAATCTCCACCCCCCAATACATGCCCTCCCTCCCCAGAGTTTTTCATCCATTGGTTATGCTTATATGCATGCATACAAGTCCTTCTGTTGATCTCTTATCTTCCCCATATCTCCCTACCCTCCCCGCTGTAATTTGACAGTCTGTTTGTTGCTTATTCCCTCCCCTTTTAAAGAATGGTCCAGAAAACCATATTGGATTTTCTGAGGGTAACCTCTCTTACAATGGGCAAGGTAAGGCCCCCAGAATCATTTCACATCCTCTCCTTAGAAGGATGAAGTCACACTGGAGCCAGTGAGGGGGATCCCCACCCTCCCTACAAGTCTGGGTGCAGGGCCCCTGGAGCCAGGGAAAAAGCCTTCCCTGGGAAGATGCAGGGAAGTAACCCCTATGAGCAGAAAGGGGTGTATCATAGCCTTTGCGTTTTGAGAATCGAAGAGGCCGAGGGGCAAGGTGAAGCTGTGTTTCGGGTCAGTGGGTCAGTGGCTAGCATATGAGGCATGCATGGGCACAAAACCCAAAAGAATGGCAATCCAGGGGCACCTTTGGTTGAACTCAGCGCTGAAGGAGTTCTAAGTTGTTTTGCTTGGAAGAGCCATGCAGTCCCTGGCAATGGTCTGGATCAACAGCGAAGGAGTGTATCCTGGGGTCAGGCTATTTGGGATCAGCTTTCAAAAGTGACACCTTGTGGCTGCAAGAAGCAGCAGCAGCAGCAGCAGCAGCAGCAGCCGGCTCAGGTTTCCTTCCTTGGACTGTCTGCGCTCATCCCACCTACTGTTCTCTCCTCAGACCCATCCGTGTGAAATGCTGGAAAAGGCTGGGGAGTGCTTGACAATTACAGGGAATAATAAGAGATGTGCCAGTTCAGGCTACTTCATTTCGGTTACAACTTAATATAAAAACACTTCCCTGAAATGGTTACAGATCCAGGGCAGAATACGTTCTCCTTCCCAAGTAGTTTTTCTTTTTAGAAATTGAAGAAAAAGTTTAAAACCCTGCTGTTTTATCTGACTTCTTGACCTTTGCTTTAGTTGAGAAAGAAGCCTCCAGGGTTTTATCAGATTAATTGCCAGTGCTTTCAAAGTTGAAATAAAGGCCACGGATATGGGCCTGCTGGCCCCTTGTTGTATACATGTGGCTAAAAGACTGTGCCCACGTTGCTTACACAAAGGAGTTCCTGAGCTACATACAAAATCCAGATCAAGACCCGACAGCCCTTTGCTGTCTTTTCACAGACAGGAGGTAGAAACATCCTAAAATCCTGAGGCATCTTTTGTACCACCTGACTGGGCCCATGGGCCTGAGCGGCATATCCTTTTCTTCTCCGCCTCTTCCTCTCCAGCTCCTGCCACCTGGTATTTAGTTCTATTGCAGTCCTTGAGTTGAACCAGGATGAATGTTTTGAGTTGAGCTCAGTTATGAAGTAAGAATGTCTGAGACAGAAGAGGCTACAGTACATGCTCTTCCAACTCCCCGTCACATGAGCCTGGGGTGGCAGAGATTCGGCAGACACCATTCCTTTGCACTCGACCCTCCATGGGGTGTGAGCTGGCTCCTGGATAGGACAGAATTTGTGCTGAAAGACACAAGGCTAAACAAGAGGAAGGGTTTCTGGAGACCTGCGTCTGGAGCCCAGTGGTGGGGGCTGGGCGTTGTGCTTGGGCTGCCATCGTGGTCCCTGAGTGAAGCTCCTCCTTAGTGATTCTTCAGGAAAGATGGTCTCCAACATTGTGCCCACTTGGGGGGACTCACGCCCTTAAGAGTGTTATGACTCTTGGGGAATCAACTCTTCTTCCTCTTCACCTCACAGCCATTTCCTAAAGCACAACCCAGCCCCAGGAGCACTTTGTGGGGACCATTTCCAACAGCCTTGACCCCAAAGACCCAACGATTGCCCCATTCTAACTGATGGGGGACATCTGCTAAAACCAATCCAAAACACAGTGTCTTATCAATTTTTTTTTTTTTTTTTAGAAAAACAACCCTTTTCCCAAGGAGTGTGGTTCCTGCCAGCCATTTACTTGATAACCAAGGGAAACCACTAATGTGATAAAGTCTCCCCAGAATGGCAAAGATCTGCTTCTTGGTGATTTCCGTTCTTGTCTGTATAAGGAAGCAGCTGTTGGTGACTTTCAGTGAGGAAGGGGGAAGTCCCCAGATGTATTCTCTGAAGGGCACCCTGTGGTAGAACACCCTCCAAAACTTGTATAACACGTACTTTTTTTGCAGATGAAGTGACTGAGGCTGATGGAGACATGATTTGCCCTGGTCCACGCGGCGCGTTCTTTCCTCTGTTCTGCTCCCGATCAATTTCTTTCCCACTTTGAAAAGACCTCCCAGAGGCCTTTCTTCACTCCGCACTTAGGCCCGTCTTGGGCTTCTCTCTTGATACTGTTGGCACTTGATGAAGAACATTGGGCCACATTGGCTTCTCAATGTTTCCAAACAGGAACTTTTCATTTCAAGTCAACATCTCCTCGGGAGGAGATGTGGCTGGACCCTGAGTTTTGGAACCCGATGCAAAGTCCTGAGAAGTGGGAACCAGACTGGAATGGCCCCACAAGTGCCTGCTTCTGAAACAAGCTTCCAGGCATGCGGAGCTGGCAGGGGGCCTCTTGGGCTCTTTGGGTTTGTGTATTGATAGAGGCTAGGCAAATATACCATGGCCCAAGGCCTGTAATGTTATATCACCTCTGTTTTGCTCTAGTTGATGGTGACTTGTTTAAGGAACCGATGAAAAAAAGAAGACGATCAGATAGAGACCAGCGGTTCCGAGCATTTCCCTCCGTAGAACAAAGTGCTCTTAAGGAATGTGAGTGTTATGAAACTATTAAATAGTGGTTTGCTTGTTGTTGTTTTATTAAACGTAGCTCTGTTCTTTTCCAAGCATGTTCCAATGCTCAAAGGAAGGGGAGGTTAAATCCAGTCACAGAATGAAACATCTTCAAATGACTCAGACCAGGAAAAGGAGCCCTCATAATCTCTGCAGAGATGTAATTTGAGAAGTTATCTCTAAGACTCTCTGGAGAAGAGGGTTCTTATGAAATTAACTTCTTCCTCCTTAAAACAAAGACCAAAAATGGTTGGTGTGGAGTTTTGTGGATATTGATACTATATCCTTACTTATTTTCCTTTTTTCTTTTTCTTTTGAAATGTAGTTTTGTTTTGAAATATGATGTTATATTAGTTTCAGGTGACTTTTTCTTCTTGATCACAGGAGAGAAGAATCTAGAAGCACTAGCGCCCATGGCAAAGCCTTTGCTGACTTTTTTTACAAGGAGTTTCAGAGCAGGCTGGCTCCTGGAGAAGCTGTCAGGATCAATGATTGCTGGCTCTCATGGGCCAGTCTCTCTAGTGTCAGATAACTTGTGATCTTGTTTACTTAATTTTTCATTTCATTTCTTTTTTCCTTTCTCTTTCTATAATGTTGAGCAGACTCCACCTGTGGAGACCTAGGACTTGACCCTGGCCAGGTACATCCCAGGTAATGCATCTCTGTCCATTCCAGATGAAAAGCTGGAGTCACGGACCAGAAGGGTTTTGAGCAACACTTACCAGAAGCTTATTCAGTGTGTCTTCCTGGACGACAGCATTCCGAATGGACTCAAGTATCTCATGTGAGTCTGATGTCTACTGCCCTCAAATCTTACTTTGATGCCTTTCCTTAGGTGATTGTAGGTGCTTTTCTCCAATGACAAAAGGAAAATTTCAAGTAGGAAATAAGTGCGAAAGTTGAAGATTTTCCATAGCTATAGGCCATTGGCTATACTACTAATAGTTCCTGCTCATTGAGCCTTCACTGTTGCTAGGCAATCTGATAGATCCTTTATATATATCAAATTTCATGTAAATGTCTCAATACTCGATAAAGTGGACTCTATTCTTATCATCCCATTTTACTGCAATAGAAGCTTAAAGAGGCCAAGACATTGACCAAAGTCACACTGTTGGTAAGTCACTCAAAGGTCCCGGAGTCCAACCCAGGCAGTGTGACTGAACCTGTGTCTCAACTGCTTGAGGGAGTTGAGTGGTGCCAAGGGCTGTATCTTCTACTCAGGAGGACTCTGTGTTGCTCCTAATAATACTTTTTCTCTGCATAAACTCCATTTCTAGGGTCAAGACTATGTAATTCCCATAGAACACAAACAAGGATGCTTCACATCTATTTAAACATTATAGAGTTTATGTAGAAGCATTATTCTTTTTGAGTCGTATTACCAAGTACATTTGCATAACTTCATTTGATCTCCATGACAACTCTGTGTAGTAAACAGGGATTAATATTCCTCTCTGACCACATAGAGAGCAGAGACTCAGAAAGATGCCATGACTTGCTCAAGATTAGAACTCAGTTCCTTTGTGTTCTATTCTGATGTTCTTCCCGCTGTGCTTTCATGACCATGGCAATGTGCACTTAAAACTTGATCTAGAAATAGGCTTCTTGCTTTGATTGAAAAACCATCGTTGGACCCAATTTACATTGGATTATTTGGAAGCACTGGGGCTGGGAAGAGCTCCCTGATCAATGCCATCATCCAGCAAGCAATGTTTCTACCAGTGTCTGGAGAAAGTATATGTACGTCATGTATTGTACAAGTGAGCTCAGGCTGCTGTGAGCAGTATGAGGCCAAAATCCACCTTCTCTCTGACCAGGTAAGCTTCTCCAGCCTTCCTGCCTTCTTGCCTTCATGCCTTCCTCCTTCCCTTCCAGTTTTCCTCCCTTACTTCCTCTTTTTCCCCTCCCTTCTACCTTCCTTTTCTCCCTCCCTCCCTCCCTTATTCTCTCCCTCCCACCCTCCCACCCTCCATCCTTCCCTCCCTTCTTCTCTCCTCCCTCCCTCCTTTCCTTCCTCTTTTCCTCCCTCCCTCCTTTCTTTTTCTTTCTTTCCTTCTCCCTCTTTCTTAGAGATTAACATTATATTCCTTGTACATATAGCTCATGCCTTTCTTAAATGAAGAGAACATAGTATGGAATGTGAAAGTTCAATAGAGCAAGATGGGGTTCTAGCCTGGGTCCAGTCACCATTCATTATGGGAATTTGGGGGAAGCCATTTTCCTCTGTGAGTCCCTGTTTCCTCATCCAGGAAACAAGGAGGTTGGGTTAGACAATCCCTTACTGGATTGGATATTTTGAAATTTCCTGAGTATGTCCCTCCACAGGGACAATGGCCTCTTCTCCCCCCCCCCCTTGTCATTGTTTTTCATGTCATGAGGGCTTGGCCCTACTCTGCCTTGGCAGGAGTGGAAGGAGGAGCTGAAGAACTTGACTAAACTCCTGCACAGGACAGAGGAGCTGGGCCGAGAAGAGGCGGATATGTGGGACGGGGATGATGCAGTGGAGGAAGCCATCTGGAAGCTACAAATGCTTTATGGAAATGGGGCAGAAAGAAAGACATATGAGGAATTACTAAGAGTGAAGCCAAAAGTAAAGATTCCCACCTCTAGAATCATCACCCTCAAGGCAGAAGAGGTAGCTTCAAGATATTTTTTCTTTATTTATCACTAGAGGCCTGATACACAAAATTCATGAAAGAGTAGGCCTTCCTTCCCCTGGCTGCCCTTGGCACCCAGGACCTGGGCTTCCCTCACAGCCCTAGCTTCGTTCAGAAGGTTCAGAAGGTCGTCCAGAAGGATGTATGGTCTAATTAGCACATTAAGCTTTTATTATAAGCTTAATGTGCTAATTAGATGAATTAAGTATAACAATTGAATCCATTTAGGGGATTTGCTCAAGGCACTGGAAGTTTTATATTAGAAATAAGTTTTTGTGTGTGTTTTGTTGTTGTTGTTTTGGTCAAAGCTTTAGTCAACATCTGACCTTCGCAGTGCCCAGAATATTCAGGACATTGAATATTTTTGGACTAGCCCTCTTTTTAAAGTTTATTTATGCTTCAAAATTTTAAAAAAATTTAAGGACAATTTAATTGCTGGCTTTCATGTCTCATTTAAGCAAGTGTCAGAAGTATCCATGACCAAATTATTTTTCATTGTTTATGGCTGTCAAATGGGAATTTTTAGTGTCTGAATGAGGGAGCTTTTGTGCACTGAAGGACTATTTATACTGACTTGAGGATTAATCAAAGATGTTTTTGGCAGCAAATGATTAAAAAAAACAAACCCAACTATAATGACTTAAACAAATAGGGACTTACTCATTTTCTCACATAAGAAGTCTGGAGGCAGTTGGCTTTGTGGATTGGTTCAGTGGCTGCACTATGTCAAGATCAATATCTCTCTGGTCCCCTTGGCCTCCACAACACTTGTTATCTCATGGTCATAAGATTGCTACTGAAGTGCTAGACTTCACAGCACGCTTCAGGGAAGGAAGACATGGATAAAAAGGTGGCACCAACTACATGTTCCCTTTCACTGGAGGTAAAAGCTTTCCCAGAACACCCAACAAATCTCTGTGTAGATTTACTTGTTCAGAGCAGATTCACATGGCCTTCCCTAGCTAAAAGGGAGTCTGTTTAAAGAAAGTAAGAAACCAACTTGTCCTGACTAGCTAAGACCACTCACTCTCAATTCACTACCTTCACAAAGAAACAATCAGGATTCTCTTAGCATGGATATAGGACCGGATGGATATTAGACATACACTTAATAGATTATACTATATTTATAATCAATATTAATTTTTTTAAATGAAAATTCTATTTTAAGTTAAACTAAATCCTTATGGAACAAATATTCCATTTGTTAATGTTGTACATTTAAAAACCTAGTATATATTTTTCTTTTTTAAAATGTGTTTTTATTGATTTCAGAGTGGAAGGGAAGAGGAGAGAGAGAGAAACATCAATGATGAGAGAGAATCATTGATTGGCTGCCTCTTACACACTCCACACTGGGGATGGAACCTGCAACCCAGGCATATGACCTGACTGGGAATCAAACCATGACCTCCTGATTTATAGGTCAATGCTCAACCACTGAGCCATGCTGGCCTGGCCATACCTAGATTTTCTTGTATGTTAAAACTCATCCTTAAAATATTATTATTCTTCACTTACTCTAAAATTTAGTGTTCAATTATCTCCTAAGTTTAGCATAGCCAATCCTCCTCAAATAGTTAATGCTACTTGCATAATAAGCCAAATTTATTTAGAATTTTTCTATTATAGTTTAAATTTAATATATTTAATTCTTTCAAAAATGTTAAATTTAAAAGGCAAACTTAGGAGTCAAATGAATGAATCTCTTAAGGCACTTAGTACTGTTTATCTAGGAAATCAAACAAATATAATAGTCATTTCTTATATTTAAGTGGATGTTACTATTAAAAATAATTACATTCTTAATATCTAAAACATTAGACTGAGCTTGTCCAAAGAAACACAATGATTATAACAGTGGTTACTTTATCTCCATACACAACTTACACCAAGGTATCAATATAACATTTATTTCTTAACTTCTCTGTATTTAGAAATACTCCTTCCCAGGGTTTCAAATTTACCCACTAAAAAAAAGAGGAACAGAATGACCATCTTAGTGAGTGAGAGGGCACTGATTCAGAATTTGGGTCAGAGACTCTAGACTGGCCTGAGGGAATCTGAGTTTGTCTTCCAGAATGGTTTGCCCAGAGCCAGTTTATTGGATTGAGCCTCCTTCTTCTAGGAAGGGACTTTAAAAAAAAAATATATATATATATTGATTTCAGAGAGGAAGAGAGAAGGAGAGAGATATAGAAACATCAATGATGAGAGAGAATCATTGACCGGCTGCCTCCTGCACGCCCCTCACTGGGGATCAAGCCTGCAACCAAGGAACCAGATATTGAACTGTGACCTCCTGGTTTATAGGTTAACACTCAACCACTGAGCCATGCTTTTTCTTTTATGTAGCTCTTGTTGTATCTACCTTATTTTTTTAAATAAAATATCTTAAAGAACTTTTATCATCTCTTTCACAATTTCTTATTTGATTAAAATGGATGAAATCTTCAACTCCCTACACGGATTACAATAACCCCCTGATTTAATCCCCACTCTCTTAAGAATTTACTTCCTGCCGGCACCAGTTTGGCTCAGTGGATAGAGCGTAGGCTTGCGGACTGAAAGGTCCCTGGTCAAGGGCATGTACCTTGGTTGCGGGCACATCCCCAGTAGGGGGTGTGCAAAAGGCAGCTGGTCGATGATTCTCTCTCATCAATGTTTCTACCTCTCTATCCCTCTCTCTTCCTCTCTGTGAAAAATCAATAAAATATATTAAAAAAAAAAAGAATTTACTTCCTTATTTTTCTTAAAGGAACATGTTTAGGAAGAAACAATAGGCTAAGAACAACTCACCATCCCACCCATCACCATTAAAACATCCTAGAAATGCTCACATATCAGCATATTTTTTGAACTTGAAAAATAACTTTTAAAAACCCATTTAAAGATCATTTTTCAGACAAATCTTCAGTTTGGAAATTATGGTCACCATATCACTATTTTCTGTAATCTGGACTCTTTGGTAATTAAAATGTTCATATTAGCCATGCTAGAAGAATCCTCTCCCTCCAAATTTTAGAAAAATTGCATATTAATTACATGAATTTTAGAATTTAAATGGCACTTTGGAGATAAAATGGTTATCTGGTGAAGCTCTAACTTTATTGAAGTCCCATCCTAACTGACTCTAGTTTCTTTATCATTAAGTTGAAGAGCTTGAACTCCTTGATCGCCAAGTCCATTCTGACTCTCAGACTGTAGGCCCTTATTGGCTAGATCACAGGCTTCCTGGTGTCCATCACTGCTCCCTCTGTCCTCAATATATTTTTCTTTATTTTAGGGAGGAAGGGAGAGGGACAGATAGATAGAAACATCAATGATGAGAGAGAATCATCTATCGGCTGCCTCCTGCATGTCCCACCCTGGGAATAGAGCCCATAACCTGGGCATATATCCTGATTAGGAATTGAACTGTAACCTACTGGTTCATAGGTTGATGCTCAACCACTGAGCCATGCTGGCCAGGCCATCGCTGCTTCTTACCATTTCTCTGCATACCTTCAATGAACCTGAATCACTAGCTCATCTGAGACAGAAATGCTGGGAGAAGGTCTGATGTGTGTGACCTTTTCCTCCTTCCTCAGGCAGGAGAGCTGTCTGTCAAACTGGACCCCTACATCAGGACTAAGAGGAGAGATTGGAATGGAGATTCAGCAGAGACACAAATCTGGCCCTTGATTAAGCATGTGGAAGTGACTCTTCCCAAATCAGAGCTGATTCCAGAAGGGGTTGTGCTCGTGGACATTCCAGGCACAGGTGACTTCAACAGCAAGAGGGATGAGATGTGGAAAAAGGTGATTTTCCTTCCTATGACTTTGTTCCCTTTCCCCTCAATTCCTCTGCCCTCTCAAAAGCAACAAAGAAGTCTCTGCTTTCAGCTTAATGGGTCGTATGAGTTCACTGGAGTCAAATTCTTCTACTTTCCATGTTCTAAGCCTCAGGGCAACAGTGGGGTATGGGTGGCCAGAGAAACCAGAGAGTTAGGAATCACGAGGCAGGCCTGGTAGCTGGACCAAGAATGTGTAGAAAAGAAGGGTCAGCAGGAGAGTGGACTACGCATAAACAGAGGAAACAAGGCAGATGGGGAGAGGAAGGCCAAGAGTTGGGTATAAAGCAGAGAAGCCGACAGCCAGGCACCAAGGAATCAGGAGGCTGCTACTGTGTTTGGGTGTTAGGAACAGAAATTCAAGAAAGCAATCCCATGTGAAGTGCAGTTCATCAAAGGATCTCATGAGACCCAACCCGGCCTCAGGGCCACCTCTCAGGCTGGAAGCAGCTATTTTTGTCTCATCCTCTGCTCGGTCTCATGACTGTCTCTCTTTGTGCACCTCTGTAGAGGCCTGCTTCCCTCTACGTAGCCATTAAGATCCACGTTGTAGAAAATGACCACCCTAGACATTATGAAGTCCAAGTGCCCATGACTGTCTGACTATATAATCTTTGTGTTTTAGTTCAAATTCCCAGAAGAAAAATATGATTGATTCTTGCCCAGAAAATAGATTAGCTCTCTTTGGATTAAATATCCAGCCCTATTGCAATCAGCTGTGGCTGACGGTGGGGTTGAAAGGAAAGTCCACCTGTTCAACCAAAATCTTAGATGGGGGTTCAATTCCCAACAAATAGGGCATGAGCTCACCAGGAACCCCCAGATGTGACTACAGGCAGAGTTAAATATTGGAGTCATTTGACGTGCACCTGAAGGCTGAATTTTTAAGAATTTATCTCATTGTTCATTTGCTTTTCATTCATCAAACATATATAACAATATACTAAGCACTGAGGATGCAAAGATTACAGATAAAAAAATAATAGTACACACTTAACTTAGCATTTACTTTGTGCTGGGTATTATTCTCAGTGAAGTAAGCTGCCCATTATAACGTTGGGGAACTTAACCCAGCCAAGAAGACAGTGAATGAAAGAGGCAGTGCATGACCTTTAATGTTAAGAAACGTGTGTGTGTTGTGTGGGTGTGTGATGTGTAAGATCCTGCCTTCTGGAAGGATAGACACCCTATTGTTAGCAGCACTTTTTGTGTTTACCACCACTCTTAACTACCTCCACCTCCGTGTTGTTTGTATGTTTTATATGAACATGTATTATCTTTACACTAAAAGATGGAAGGCAAAATAAGACAACTTTGAATGAGAAGTAGAGCCTTCCCACAAAGGGCTTAGAGCCTAACAGGAGAGACAAAACATACAGATGACTAAATACATGGCAGATGGTGATGTACTAGAGGGACAAGGTGCTGTGAACACTCCAAAGTAGAACTGACCTCCAACAGGAACTCTCATTTCTTCAACAAACACCTACAGAGCATCTATTCAATTTCGTGGTAGATTCCAGGTGGACAGAGACAAAGTCTTTGTCCTTGGGAGTCTCCTAGTCCAGAAGGGAGCAACTCGGTCATACTAATGAACAAACCATATTACTGAGAAATGAGAGCACAAAGTGATCATTTCATTTTGGAGGTGGTGAGGATTCAGAGAGGACACAGAAGCTCAGCCTCCACCAGGCAGAGAAGGCGGTTGAAAACGGGACCACTGAGCACTGACTCAGAGGGCCGAGGGAGCTGGGTGTTGGGAGAAGGATGAATCTTCCTGGGTGGCTGGAGGGAGAATGGGGTGTGGGTGTAGAGAGAGGTGCAGAGACAAGCCTGGAGACATTGGGGTGGGCTTTAATACCATGCTTCCTGGGGACGCTCAAAGGACAAGAGGGACTGGGCTGTGTGATAGAGCAAGAAAGGGCATCTTTAGGCAGAAAGCGCTCAGGAGCATAGGGTCAGAAGAGAGGGGCCACAGGACCGAAGCTGGATGTGGACTGGGAGGAAGGGCCTGTATCAGTGAGTCATGATCAGTGCCGAAGCTGTGTGACTGTGGACCAGGGGAGCCTTGTGACTGGTTTCCAATCAAGATTAGGATGACAGGGTCAGGATGATAGCTTCCAGCTCAGCATCCTATGCCCTGATTTTACAGGGGAGAAATGAAGACTCAGAGAGGGGAAGTCATTTAACTTAGACCTAAGACCACACAGCTATTGAGTGGCAGATTTTGAACCAGAGGGCAGGTTCTTACCTTCCCAGGATAGGTTTTCTCCATCATCCCCTCAGGATGTCACCTCACAGTTCTTTAGGATGAGGGCAGTCACCTTCTCCTTGACCCTTCAACTCAGGCCTGGCCAAGAGAGCCTCGTTTCTGCAGGGTCTCAGCTCTTGGAGAGGAATTGCCAGCCTTGGTTAGTTCCCAGCCAGGCCCAGGGAGCGACAGCCTAGGGGAGGCAGCCAGCTTCTCTCGCTGGATGGAGTCATGGTTGCCGCCAGTTCAGATACACTGGGCAGTTTATCAAAGGCCACTCAGAATAGAGGAGCCAGCAGATCTGGCTCAGAACACCCGCTCTGAGGAGGTCGGGCTGAAGCGAAGGAATGGTTCCCAGCGTGCTCTGCTTGGCCTTGGCTCCCCTGCATTCTTGTGGTTTTTACGATCTCCTCTCACAAGCAGTTACTAAAGACTTCCTTCTTTCCAGGAAGAACAGAGCCAACACCCCTGCCCCATCTCTCCAGCTGCCAGCTTGGCCTTCCCTGAACACAAACAATTGTGAATCCAGACCTCCCTGTTCTGACACCTATAAGTCCTGAGACCTTAGATGTGTCACCTGACCTTTCTGAGGCCCATTCTCAACTACAGGAGGAAGGGAGATGGGGTAGCAGAGGTGCCATCCCACCCACTCCTAAGTCTAGTCACTCCAGTCTTAGAGACAAGCTTTTTTTTTTTTTTAAATATATTTTATTGATTTTTTTACAAAGAGGAAGAGAGAGGGATAGAGAGTTAGAAACATCAATGAGAGAGCATCATCGGTCAGCTGTCTCTTGTACACCCCCTACTGGGGCTGTGCCCACAATCAAGGTATATGCCCTTGACCAGAATCGAACCCGCGACCTTTCAGTCCGCAGGCCGACGTTCTATTCACTGAGCCAAACCAGTTTTGGCAGAGACAAGCTTTTTGGTGTCCTCTTCAATGCTAACTTGATCAAATCCTGGCAGGTAGGGGCATTGTGGGGGGCCTGAAATTTAACCACTGCTACCTTTATGGTTGCAGTCCTCTTCTCATGTTAATAAACATTTGTTAAGCCCCTGTAGTTTACCAGGACCACGGGGAAAATTGTTGACCTTTAACAAAAAGCCAGCCAGATACTTTCCCACAAAATGGGTTGATTCAGGCACAATAAAGAATTGCAATCCGGGACCTTCAGTCTAATGGTGAACAACACAGAAGTCCAGAGAAACAAAGGAGAAGGATGCTCTTTTATGGTCTTGGGAGGAGCTGTAGTAAAAGAACAGTCCATTAAAGTAAACTGAGAGGTCAGAGTGTAGTGACCTTTTATTGGTTGAGTTACTGCAGTCTCCCATTGGCTGGGCTGTTACTGGGCAAGGAGGCAGAAAGGTGGTGTCACTTCCTGTTGGAGATGCAGGGCACGTTATTTCCTGTGGAGGTCAGTAGTGTGTGCTGAGTGATGAGTGTCAGAGTTTCTCTCTTCTGCCCTACGGACTCTATTTTGAATGAGTTTTTATTATTTTGTTATTAATGTTCACAATATAAAGGTGAAAATGGACCTGCCCTTGAAGAGCTTGCAGCCTGATATTCTAGGATCTTTCACAACCTGCCTGAACAGCCTGACGCCTTCCTGAAGTTGATTATAATTTGGGAAGAGGGGGGGCGCATTTTTCCTCCCAACAGAGATGTGAGTTCATCCACACAGGGAGGAGATTCAGACCCATGGGTGTCCTTACGCTGGCCCTTTGCCTCTCAGGCCTATTGTCTTCTCTACAAATAGTAAAGTTTGTCTTATTATAGAGATTGATGATTTTGAAACAATAGTCCATGAAACTAAGAGATTCTTCAACAGAGGTTGGGGGTTCTGAGCTGTTTGGGGCTCCAAATCTTCTATCCCCAACTAGAATTCTTTTTAAAATTTATTTTTATTAATTTCAGGGAAGAAGGAAGAGGGAGAGATAGGAACATCAGTGATGACAGAGAATCATTGATTGGCCGCCTCTTGCACACCTGCTACTGGGCATGTGCCCTTGACTGGAATCGAACCTGGGACCCTTCAGTCTGCAGACTGAACTCTATCCACTGAACCAAACCCGCTAGAACCCCAATTGGAATTCTTTGTAAGATTTCATTTGAAAAAGGCTCCACTGCTAAAATACAAGTTTGAAACACACAAATCTAGATCAAGTTTTCTTAGCCTCGGCACTATTAATCTTTTGGGCAGAACATTATCTGTTGTAGGGGCTGAGCTGGGCATTGTAGAATGTTTAACAGCATCTCTGACCTTCACCCTCCAGTGCTCCCCCATGTCATAACAATTGAAAAGATATCCAGACATTGTCAAATGTCCCCTGGGGTACAAAATCATCACTGGTTAAGAACTACTAGTATAAAGCAAAATAATGACTTAATTAGCAAGTCATAAACTTGTCATATCTTTATGTGCAAAGAGCTGTTCTGAAGAACCACAAATAAACTTCATTGCTGAGTTGGGCCAGCTTTTCATTTTTAGGGAGAGAGAAGACAAGAGAAGCAATACATAAGAGAAATGTCAAGGCAACACAAAATTACTTGTCACATGAAAGTTGCTTATTGATAATAGCAATATTTGTGCTATTAATCATAAGCTGTAATTTCGTGTTCATTGACATTTGCAACTTGAAATCGTATAGTTCCTGGCTCCCTGCTAATACATGCTGAATATTCAGGAATAGTCAAACAACAAAAGGATGATAGTTTAAGGGTAGATTCATGACCAGAACTAGTTCTGGAAAAACAATAATTTCCCCTAGAGGACAACCAAGGCAAAGCAAGCCAGTGAAGGATCCGGTAATTGAGATCTGACTTCTTGAATTCCATCAATCACTAATGCTACAAACATCTCGGAAACCTCTGCTGTGGCCACACACTGTGCTTGAGGTTGTGTGGATTCCAAGCTGAATGGTACAGCCCTTTCCCATCACAATCTGGATGGGGGAAGGTGCAGAGAGCCAATCCTGTACAACTCTGCCCAAGAGGTACTGTGGCAGGGAAGTCCAGGTGCTGTAGGATGCAGAGGGGGGTGGCCAACCCATCCTTAGGTGGCCCTTAGCTGATTCTCAAAGGGCAAATGGAGGTAAAAAAAAATAGGTTGTGGCAAGTACAAAAGCCCTGAGAGATGACAGAATTATATCTGAGAAACTGAAGGAAACTCAACATGGCTGGAGCATGGAGTGTGGTGGAGTGTGGGGAGAGTTGGGATAGAGGAAGGGAAAGACAGAGGCAGAGCAGGGAAGACATAAGTGATACATGAAGGAATCATGTCCTCTACAACTGTTACACTGTTTTGAAACATATTGTGGTCATGTTTCACAGACCATTGATAAATGCTCAGTGATCTGGGTGATCAGTGACATTGAAAGGGTGTCTGGAGGGAGAGCCCATGAAGACCTTCTGAATGAGAGCATCAAAGCCTGCCAACGGGGTTTCTGCAGGGACGTTGCCCTGGTGGTCACCAAGACCGACAAACTCCACCTGCCGGAATATCTAAGGTACCATGCTGGACCTGCAGGGAGGTGGGCTTTCCTCCATGGTCCTGACTACAGTGAGGACGGAGCTTTGACTTTAGGATGTGGTGGCATTGTGTACTCAGGGAAGTGACTGTTGGGGATGCAAGAGAAGTCTAGGGGACTTGCTGGGATGGCAGGACTCTTGAGTGGACTGGCTCAGGGATCTGAACCACTGTGGCCCCTCAGAATAACTGCTAGATACCCAACAAGCTATTCTCTCCATAGTTCCAGGAGTGCTGCTCATGAGTGTGATGTGATGTGATGTGATGGTCCAGCCTGGGCCCCAGATATGGAATCCATACTACCCCAAGCTAGTAGGCACTTTCTAGAATATTTCTGGCACAGTGCAGCATTGAAGCATCAGATTCTGTTTTCAGATCTGTCTACTCCTGAGATTTTAAACCCATTTGGAACAAAGTTCTCAAAGTTTTAGAACTTTGGCTAAAAGTAAAAGCATTCTTACATATTATATTCTAACAACAACAACAAAAGGGAACAATGAAAGATAAGCATTTTAGAGTTTATAGATGCTGATTTATGTTGATTTCCATGTAGATCACTGCCTCCTCCTCCCCGCCGCCCCACCCCACACACACACACACACACACACACACACAGCTGGAGAGACAATAACTTATCTTCCACACTGGGAGTATTATTAGCTATTACAAAGGATCAGCAGGTATAAAGTGGTGCTGGGTGCATGGACATACAGTCCAGGGATATAATTTTGTTGATTGTTAGAGCTTCTCTGCTCTAACAAAAAGCTTCTTTACCTGTCACCTCCTCCATTTCACCCATGCCCTCTCTAACTTGAGTCTGGTGTCTCCAGGAATTTATTAAGCATAGACAACTTCCTCAGTGAAGAAATAGGTTAAGGCTTCTCCCCCTATCTTCTTGCTCTCATGGTCTAGGTTAGAATTTCAGTTTCATTTTCCTTCCCCACTCCCCACAGATTTCATCCATCCCTACCCCTGCCACAAAATAATATCTAAAGCTATCCCTTGCCAATGCCAACTCTAAAACTAAATCTAAATCAATTTAATTTATTAAATATTTAATGAACACAATGGTAGGGGCTGCCAATTCAGAGATGCATATTGCCTTGTCAACAAGGTCACTGTCCTAAAAAAGGGTTAAAGTTTAGAGGAGAAGGATAAGCAAAGTACTATGGGAAGAGAGAGAGATGCAGAAAATTCCACCGATGACAAAACATCCTATATAATAAAAGGCTTATATGTAAATTGACTGAACAGCAGCAGTCGCTATGATGTGAACTGACCACCAGGGAGCAGACACTCAATGCAGGAGCTGCCCCCTGGTGGTCAGTGTACTCCCAAAGGGGGAATGCTGCTCAATCAGAAGCCAAGTCGGACTCATGGCTGTTGAGCACAGCGATGGTGGTAGGAGCCTCTCTTGCCTCCATGGCAGTGCTAAGGATGTCCAACTGATGGCTTAGACCCGCTCCCACTTAGGGCTTCTGGACTGTGAGAGGGCACAGGCTGGGCTGAGGGACCCCCCCTCCCAAGTGCACAAATTTTGTGCACCAGGCCTCTAATTGAGAAATAAATACACTTTTTTTTTTTTTTTTAATGGACACTGGTGGTGGATCAGAAGAGAGAGCACTTGGGCTGAAGAAAGAGCTTAGGCAAAGCCATAGAGTCATGATATCTGCTGCTTTGGGGGAAAATCAAAAGGCTGTTGTGACACATAATGAGTTCAGTAATGGTTACAATTTTCTAATTTTATTTCAGGGAAAGAAAAGTGGGAAATGTAAGTATGGACTAGTTACTTTTATTTTTAATTCTTAAAGCTCTACTAAGATATAATTGATATACCCCAAAGTTGCACACATTTAATGTAAACATCTTAGACATATGCATGGACTAGTTATTTTTAAATAATACTTTTAGTGATTAATATTATATAATTTAAATACATGCATATTTGTGTGGGCCAAATGAAGATCTGTTAATAAAACATACATCTTGCACTTCATCGCTTTGATAATTGTGTATTCTTTGCCACGCTTTTACTTCCCTTCACAATCTAGCAAGCTATTCAAAATCAGCGAGAGGCTGTTTTAGAAAGAAATGAAATGATAAAACTACAAAGGAATAGAATTCTCAAGGAAAAACTAAAGGTGAGTTCATGGATTTTCCTATGTATTTTTCTGCTTTTCAGCCACTCAGATTTTGGGAAACAAATGTCTATTTGGTCTTGGGCAGTAGCAAGAACAAAAGTTTTGGAGTAGACCATTTGGACTTAACTTAGTTCTATTAATTAATAACTTTATGACCTCAGGCAAATTACTACACCTCTCTGAACCTCCATTTTTCTCATTTGGAAAATGGGAAATAACAATACCTACCTCTTATGATTGTTGGGAGCATTGAATGAGCATACGGTCTGCTGAGAAATACGTGCAAGTGAAATTAGGGATCACCATACAGTTCAACATGTGCTTGGCTAGAGCAATGCATAGGATGGTGTGGAAATACAGAAGGAGAAGGCTCGAATCACATTGGCAATCAGGGAGGTGGTGTTGGGTAAAGGTTCAGGGAAAACTCTCAGTTTCTTGAGCAGAATTTTAAAGAACCAGTATCTTAGTAATGGGAAGAAGTAGGAGAAAGAGCGTTTGAGATGGAGGGGAAAACATGATTGAAAAGCCTATTCTATATGGTGAACTCAATGTAAGTAGTTTTAAAGAGCTCGGCAAAGGGTATATGCATGGATTTTGGGGGATAAGGCCTGAGCTGTATCTTGTGTAATTGTATGTGGGACTCTCAGTGTTTTCTTATTTTTATTGTCTGTCACTGAAATAAGTACTAGTACACACATAAAACTCCTTATTATAAAATTTTATATAACTATAAAACTGAAACAATTTTCAGATAAAATATAAACAAAACAACAATATCTGAGTTAGTATAATGTGATAGATGATATGGTTTTGCTGAAATGAAATCTTCAGTGCTGCGTTTAATAGTAAAATCATATGGCCTTATGTCCATTTTGATATTTAACTGCTTCCTGTATTTTTACTTCAATTACATCCATGCAGAAAATGTCTGAAGCACAATGTGGAACTGAAAATTTCAAAGCTTTTGTTTCTAATTCAGAATAATCAGACCTGGTACTTAAGCCAATGTCTTCTCCCAAGTCATTCTTGAATGCTGGTTTTAAAAGGCAATAATTCAGTAAAGCTGTTGTTATTCCCTTTAATCGTTTTTGTGACATTAAAAAATATGTGCTTTATGAGTACCTAATTGTATTGTTTCTGGACATAGAAACATAAAATGCTTCAACACACAATTCAAAACTATATTAATTGCTCACAAATGTGGCAAATTGGAGTGTATGTGAAATAGGGTGTGGTCAACAATACATCAGCCTGTGGGTGACTATGGTTCTGACAATTACAGTATAAGTTCTTTTGAGATCTGAATACCTACCCCACTTTTGGCTAGGGGATGCCATCATTCTCCAACCACTATTTTCGTTTGAATTGTTGTAAATTACCTGTACTTCATGCTTTCATTGGGAGCAAATTTAATTTTAATTATAGAAAATATGAGACAGAGGTTAACCATAGAGTAGTCATTCATATAGATGTCCATGCTTATTTTTATTATAAAAAATAAAAAATAAGAAAAATATTGTAAGAACCATTATAGACCCTGGAGACTACATTTTTGGACAACGGTTTGGAAATACAGTTGTCCTTGAACATGTAGGTGTTAGGGGTATTGACCTCCTGTACAGTCAAATAATATGTTTATAACCACAGTTAGCCCTCTGCATACACAGATTCCCAAAGTGAGGAGACCCTTAAAAATGTGGGTTTGAATTGAGGTCATTTGAAAAGAATCCAAGTATAAGTAGGCCTGCAAAGTTCAAACCCATGTTCTTCAAGGTTCAACTGTACTATGCATTGCAGAGAGACTGTTTTCTCGCAGTATGGCGAATGGAAGGGTGAGGAGAGGGCTGTCTGAAGATTGGATATAGATAGAACACTTGTAAGGGTTAGTTGAGAGTCAGAAATAGGCAGTCATGCCGAAACCGGTTTGGCTCAGTGGTGGAACGTCGGTCTGCGGACTGAAAGATCCCGGGTTCGATTCCAGTCAAAGGCATGTACCTTGGTTGCAGGTGCATCCCCGGTAGGGGGTGTGCAAGAGGCAGCTGGTCGATGTTTCTCTCTCATCGACGTTTCTAGCTCTCTATCTCTCTCCCTTCCTCTCCGTAAAAAAATCAATAAAATATATTAAAAAAAGAAAAGAAATAGGCAGTCACTACAGGAATAGAGGAGATCATTCAAGCGATATTAGGGAGGTCAATCCACAGGTTTTTGGCAAGTGGGAGAGGGCTGGATTTTGACTTTCTCGGGCGTGCTATTTGAACTGGTTATTATACAGCATTTTACTTTTGCTTTAGCACACCTGTAAAGAAACTTACTCTTCTCCTGGGTGTCTCTCCTTTACTGTCACAAAACTACTACCCAAGTGTACAGGGTCCTGCAAGCCTACCCCACATCTCTAGTGCAACCTTGACAACATGGACTGACAGCATTTAAATATACTTTTGAATTATTTTATCTCTGCATTTCCTTTTAAAATTACCATTTTAGCTCCCAAGAGAATAGTTTCTGTGCAGCAATTTCTAAACAACTTCTGACCTTGTGAGGTGCAGACAGATAGGGATAGCTGATGCTCACAATGTTGCCTATTCCTTATGGGGTTCTCATAGAACCGAAGTGAATGGGCTGAAATCTGCCGAAGGCTCTTATGAGGCCTGCCTTGTTTCCTTTGCCAGGAGTGAGTTATTCTGTCCCTTCTGTGCCTCTCTCACTTCAGAGAAAATTGCCAGCTGACTCCAAGGTTCTGGAAGCTTCCAATCTGGTGTACACAGTCAGCGCCCAGGAGTACTGGTGGCAGGCTCTCCTCACTGAAGAGGAAACTGGTAATTAAAAACAAAAAACCCCCAAACAAAACTCAATTGCTAAAATTCTCAAGATTAACTTTGGTGCTCTGAATGTCCCACTCTAAAACTGTTGGTGCCATACTCCCAGTTTGCCAGCTTCTGTACCTATTAGCGAATATGTTTGTTTGTTTTCCCTGCATTTTGGTGGTGCCTTGAGACCACGATTCCTCTCTCCCCCAAATCTTACCCCCAGTTGGTAAAGGTCAGTGATCCGGTTAGTATTTGGCTTGAGATTTTTCACCAGCCCACCTGTGGGTTTTAGAACATCGCCTGAGTATCTATTGGATGCTTCGTTTGTGGGCGGGAAAAGTAGAAGACATGGCCCCTCTCTTCATACAGCTTAAAATCTAGGAGCCACCACGCCTAGATTTTGCAAAAATCAAACTGAGAACAAGACTTAATTCAGTAATTCTATGAGTACTGTAAAAGTTCAGTTGTTCTGGAGATCTGTGTGACTGGAATTCTCAGTAAAAATGGTGAGGAGGCAGGATCTGAGCTAGACACTGATCTGAGCTTACAATGTACGTGGCTGTCACTAGGCATGGATGAGTTAAGGAGCAGAAGGTGTTACATGTTCCCAGAAATTGGGGAAATGGTTAAACAAGGATATAAAAGACATAACCAGCCGGGCACTCACAAGAAGTAGTAGAGGAAAATGTCCACTTAAAGGAACAATGGAAAAAAATAGTAGTGACATCTGTCGTTTTCTGACTAACAAAGGGTTAAGGCTAAGACACGTTTCCAGTCTGGAATCCCAGCTATCAGAAGGTCTTAGCCCTTTCTACAGCAGGCATAAACTATTTTGATATTAAAAGTTATGTGTTATAGACAGAAAAATCTAGGGGGACTGAAGAGCTGAGACTCTAACAGGTGAGCACTTTGGTTTCATTATTCAGGTAAGTATTCATCCTGAGGGAAGTGGCGATTTTTGTAAGCCAACTTACACTTTTCTACAAGGTTTGCCTCATTCTGCTACAAAAACAAAAAAACAAAAAACCCCCCGATAGTCGTCATTGCTGACTTACTATCATTATTGCTGACCCTAGAAGGTCCTCAGAAAGGCTGGGTTAGTGGGCTCTGAGCCCACATAGGACCTCAACAGTGGTTAACGCAGACTGCCATCCAGATCTGTTCATTCTGATGAATCCTAGTTACTGTGAACTCTGGCCTTACAAAATTGTTTGTGCTGCCTGTGAACCCTAGAAATCCCCAAGTTAAGAGAATATATCAGGAGACGCCTCTTGGAGAAGAAGAGGAGGATGGTGACCAAGTATGTTACCGAAGCCTTTGGCCTGCTGCTCCTCACAGACAGTTTCAACAGCACGGAAAACCTGCCGGTATGGATGCCACCTGTGCTGCAGTCTCTGCCTCCCACCCCGGGCAGGACATTTCCTTTTACAAAGTTAGGAAATTATGATTTTTTCCTTTTCATATCAAAGGAGGATACTAAGCTCAGAGAATCTAAAGAGGAGAAAAGGGCAATTAGAGGGTTAAAATGATAACATTTAAGTAAAAAAGAAAGAACATTTTTCCCTAGGACAAAAGATTAAGAGGAAAAAGTAAAAATAGTCAGTGGCTACTTTTCCCCTTTCCTGAGACTTGCATAAGATGCAATGTGTTTAGCGATGGCGGGCATGATTTATTTACTTCTAGTGCAATACAGACAGTTCTTGGTTATCCTGCAGAGGCGTGGGTATGCACACAGTCCCCAAAGTTTGCATCTGTCCATGAATGCCCTGGTGCTGTCAGACTCTCAAACTCGGGCAGCAAATGTGTGAGAGAAAGGAAAGCAAGAGAGACTTTCAGCAAAGAGTTCAGATATTAACCTTCGCAGTTAGAATGCAAACCTTCCCAATAACCAGTTGAAATTACTTTTTTCATAGTAATGAACAAATGTATCTGTTTGATGGGTGTGTTTTTTTCTTCTTTTTAACCCTAAAATAAGAGGGATATGCTGCAAAAGTAGAGGTGTAAGAGAGCTAGGGAGAAAAATCTGTTGCTGGAATCAAGCACCAATTGCATTTCTTCTTTGGGAAGAACTGACAAAGACACAGGTTTGAACTACATGTGATTTTTTTTTTCAATAAATACATGTAGTGCTGTAAATGTATTTTCCTTATTATTTTATTAATAACATTTTATTTTTTCCTTGCTCAATTTATTATAAGACTAATTGACTATTTATGTTATCGGTAAGGCTTCGAGTTCAACAGTAGGCCATTAGTAGTTTAGTAGAGTCAAAAGCTGAATGCGGATTTATGACTGCACAGGGGTCAGCTCCCCTAACTCCCATATTATTCAAGGGTCAACTGTATAAAGAAAAATTCTGACCCGCAGCCTGCAGCTGCCTGTTTAGGAAACCAACCACCTATTGACAATGCACAACTCAGGAAGCCAGCAGGCTGTACATTAGATTTGTAGGAAGTCTGACGACCATCTCTTATAACAATCCAAGAAATGAAAAGGTAACTTCTGTAACAATCCACTCCAAATGGCCAGACCTTAATGAATAAAGACAGCTTCTCTAATCTCTATCCATGCAGCCATATTAGGACTCTTAGAGAAGGCCAAATACTCTCTCTACTGAATCACATAGGATCCCTGCTCCGATGACCCCACCCACAGCTGCCTCATGCCCTCGGCCTCCCATCAGAGCACAACTGAAGCCTTTCCACCACCTGCCTTTGCGTCTCTGCCAAACGCAAGTGACGGCAGCTGACTGCCTGGCTGTAGCAATCTCTGATAGGTAGGCTTCCTGTGTTCTCCTCTGGTTGGTGTTTATTTCCACACGTGCTTTCACCACCAGATTTATACAAATTGTCTGCCTAGCTGATAGGCAGAGCAGGAAAGGGGCAGAGAAAGTGGACCAGTAGGGCTGGATGAGAGTTCAAGGTCCTGAGAATGAGGGACAGTGAGCCTGGGATGGCCCTGGGAAGTGGAAGAAGAGGCAGATACTGGAGACCTGACTTCAATGTGAAAAGTAAGCAATGCCGACTGCAGATGGTCTACGCAGTTTTGGTCGAATGTCCACATTTTAAAAATTCTATACATGAGTGAGCCATAGGGCGAGATTCACTGTTGTTTTTTGTTTGTTTGTTTGTTTGTTTTTTTCCAATCACAGTTCTTATGCTTTGTTTTGGTCTCCTTCTGTGCAGAGGCGGGGGTGAGGGGGAGACTCTCCTGGAATCTGAGATTTTCCAATTTGACGTTTGTCCTCTGAAATACTGGGGAAAGGTTTAACCTTCTACCTTCCTGAAAAAGTTCTTCAGGGTGAAGGTTGCCTCCCCGCCCAGCAAAAGATTGCCTTTGGAAGTGCTGATGGAAAACCATTCAGATGTGGTGCTGTGTGTGGTTGGTTTATTTTACAAACACATGGTCGAGGCATTTTGCAATCAGACTCTCAGTGCCGGCCCCACATGCTCTCCTCTGCTGATGCGGAGGTGCGGCCCTTGTAGGGGCTCAGTCCCATCCTCGCAACCAGACTCCAGGCCACAGGAAACACAGAGGAGGGGGTGGGTTGGCACTTCTGTGATAATCTTTTGGAGGGAGTTGCCAGCAGCTTTCTTCAAAATTCTTTGGCCTCAGATAATAGTCTCGGCCTTAATTTTTGATAGAAAGTTGGAAGGCAAGAGTTTTGTCAGTTCCTTTGAACTCTTAAAAATATCAAGCCTAAAAATATATGTGATTGATCATTTTTTAAGATTGTGCCTCAAAACAAAACAAAAATTAGAGTTTGGGTAGTTAGTGATTTTAAATAAACAGAGTTCTGCTCATTTTTTAAAAGTCAGTAGGAAGTTGATTATGATATCTCAATGTCAAAGGAGTCCTGCATTTACTCAAAGTAGTTGCCAGCCACTCCCCCCACTTTTTTTTTTTTTTTTTTTTTTTTTACTGTTCTTTCATCTTCCGCCCTTCCCTTTCTTATCAATTCCCCTCCAACATGTATTTGGTGAGAGTGAGACTTTCTGAGAATCCTGCCCATAGATTTTTTTTTCATGACTTCGCTCTTATTTCATTTTGATCATCAGCCACAAATTCAAAAGAATCTAGAGAACCCTAGAGAAAAAAATAAAAGTATGGCTTATAGAATTCTTACCAGTGAAACCACAAAAATCCCCAAGGCATGCCTAAAGCTAAATAGTGTCCTTAAACGATAAGGCTCATCAACTCTAAGGCTTCCAGAGTACAGGAGTTTGAGGCTGTTTCCAGGATCATTCGGCCCCATCTATTTACTTCAAAGACGGTGCAATTGAGATGCAGAGAAGCTAAGTCATCTGTTAAGGTCACACATCGATTCAAGAACTATTTCTTCCATCAAGTTTGGAATAGGATCTATAAGCCTACATTACCCATAGTTCCCCATGCTACTCATTCACTCTGTAAATGTTTCTAGACTGCATTCTCTGTGCCTTGTCTTGGAATACACAATCGTGACTAACCTAGTCTCTCCCTTCAGCGAGCTCCTAGTCCAGGGGAGGAGACATGGGGTGAGAGACATTGCACAGCAGGAGGAATGCTGTGGTGCAGGGATGTACAAAATGCAGGGACATGGGAAAGAGAGCCCCAACTCTGCCTGGGGGGAGTCAGGGAAGGCATCACATGGGAAGGGACTGTTGAGCTTTGTCTGGAAGGATAAGACAGTGGGAACAGCATGTGCGAAGGCATGAGGTCACAAAAGTAAAGGCTTGTTTGGCTCTGAAGGGACTTAAGTGCCAAGTAAAGAGGGTGGCTTCTGCTTGCTGCACATCCCCCAAGGTTCTCACACAGGGAACAGACACTACAGTCCCCAGTTTGAACCCAAAGTCCAAGGCTGTCCCTGGTGCTCCCTCCCTTTCATTGTTTGAATAGTTACTTTCCTCCCTGAGTACACTGTACTCTCCTTTGAAGAAGGGAAGGAGCCTTATTTTTGGTCCTGGAGCTTTGTTATTCGAAGTGTGGTCCAGGGCCCGGAAGATCTGCCTCCCCTGGGGGCTTTAGAAATGAAGAAGCCCAGGCCCCCAGACTTGAACAAATTCTCCTGGGGATTTGTTTGCACATTAAAGTTTGAAAAACACCAGCCTCAAAAGCTGCTCTGTGCAAAGTCAAAGCTCATTCAATGTTTGTTGATTCAGATGTCATCGGAAATTTTTGTTTTAGTAACAATTGGGTTTTTATTTGGATAGTCATTCTCCCACATAGCCTGATGGATTGTACATCTAGAGAAAGTTGCAGGAGGGATATAGTTGTTCTATTCTCTGGTCCCTCAAAGCTTAAGGATGTTCATTTCTCTCTCTCTCTCTCTCTCTCTCTCCCTCCCTTCCTCTCTTTCTAAAAACCAATAAAAGCCTATCTCAGATGAGGATCTTAAATAATAATAATACATTTGCACTAACCAAAATTTCAGTAGTGGGCTTTAGGATCATTATTCAATGATATAAGTTTTAAGGGAATATCTTTCAAGTGAATGGCTGTGTAGCATGATACAACTGGCATCATTCTATCTATCTATCTATCTATCTATCTATCTATCTTATTAGTCTTCCCTTTTCACTTAATAGTATAAGTGATAAGGAGAAGTCAACTGTGGGTGATTTGCTCAGCCAAATCTTGCTTAAAGGAAGCAAAGTTTGAGGAGAAAGTGGGGGTGGCCTTGAGGGTGGGGGTGGCCTCATGCTCCTTCTATGACCCTGTCCCTAGAATGAACACTTGCACTTGAGTGGCCTGCGGAGATTTTTGGAAGAGAAAATACAGCTGCTGGAGAAGGCCATTGACCAGTGCTTTGCCCACATAGCCCAGCCTCTGCAAGAAGGGGTCAGAAATGCCAGGGCTTCCTATCGACGGATCCTCGGGGCATGTCTGGTGGTAAGTGACCCTTTCCGGGGAAAACCTGTGATGTTTGGTGAAGTCTGCCTGGTCCCCAAGGTCAGGAGTTGGTAATCACCTGCAGAAAATAGATACTCAGATCTATAGGAATGAAAGGTATTGAAGAATGCCTCTCTCATCACCTTCTTTCTCTGTGACTATCAACATACCCTAGGTGTTCCTATTTGATAGCAACTTTCCTTTGTGATCAGAAATTTGGGCAAATATTTATATGCTAACATTATGTAACATAGCAAAATAACAAAATGTCTAATAACAAGAGAGCAGTAAAATGAACTATGATATATCCATAGGATATATTGTGTGGTTATTAAAATGATATTTTCAAAGCATATACAATGAATAAAGGAAATGCTCATATTATAGCATTAATTGGAAAGGGAAGACTAGTAAGATAGATAGATAGAGATAGAGATAGATAGATGGTTAGAATGATACCAATTTATCATGCTATACAGCCATTCACTTGAAAGATATTCCCTTAAAACAGTGGCTGGCAAACTCATTAGTCAAATGAGCAAAATATCAATGATTGAACTTTCTTTTGAGAGCCAAATTTTTAAAATCTAAACTTCTTCTTACACCACTTCTTCAAAATAGACTCGCCCAGGCTGTGGTATTTTGTGGAAGAGCCACACTCAAGGGGCCAAAGAGCTGCATGTGGCTCATGAGCCACAGTTTGCCAACTATGGCCTTAAAACATATATCATTGAATAATGATCCCAAAGCCCACTACTGAAATTTTGGTTAGTGAAAATGTATTATTATTATTATTTAAGATCCTCATCTGAGACAGGCTTTTATTGATTTTTAGAAAGAGAGGAAGGTAAGGGAAAGAGAGAGGGGACAACACCAATTTGAGAAAGCAACAGGGATTGGTTGCCTACCATGCATGCCCCGCCTAGGGACTGAACCCAAAACCTAGATTTGTGCCCGGACTAGGAATCAAACCCACAACCTTTTGGTATACGGGATGACCCTCCAACCAGCTGAGCTACCCGCCCAGGGCAGTGTTAATGTGTTTTTATTGACTTTATTAAGAATCACCACCTGGCTAAAGTTTATCCATGTCTCTCATAACTCTAGCTTCATGATATTTTCCCCCTCTGATTTGTGAACTTATTTTTCTGGGGGGAAAAAATATTTCAACGATACATAAATCAAATTGCATTTCATTAAATATTTAACAAAAAGTATAAAAAAAATCTTGGACTATACTTGCAAAAATATGAAACAGATACTCCCAGTAGGGTCGTAGTACATTTCCATTTAATAACTGCTCATTTAACAAATATTTACCAAGCACTCCTGATGCCCTTGCCAGATGGCAAGGACATTCGGTTACTGGAGGAGACACGCTGTGCCTGATCTCAACGGGCTGATGGTCCAGTTGAGGAGCCGAATGAGTAAACAGATAAATGCAACACTGTGTGAGAGGAGCCGTGGGCAAAGTGAGCACAGGGCACATTGGGAACCCCGGACAGGGCACCCCACCGACTTCAGGCACAACGGCCACCCTCTCTCTCTCTAGCGTAGGAATAAGTTACAAGATTATGTTGGTGCTAGTGTGATTCTTGGTAATAGCCTCTGGCCAGAGGCAATGCAATTCTGATCCTGTGCTTGTCCAGCTAATGCCCACTAACTCTACTAACTTGTTGTTTATTTACCTAGAGGAGTAGAGGAAACCAAGGTTTCCACCAGACCCTGAAAGCTGTTTGCCTGAAAAACGGCATCTATGCCTCCAGGACTCTGGCACGAATAGATTTGAATGAAGCCATCACTCAGCCCATCTACGACCAGATCGATCCTGTGTTTGGAGGCATTTTTAGGTAAAAGATCTTTCCTCGTGTTCCTTGGTGAGCAAACAGCTGAAGAATGTTGGGCCAGTGTCTCATCTTTAAGAATTTGTACTTTGGATTTGGAAGTGCAAAGAGTAGCTTGCAACTCAAGGAGGAAAGCTTACTCCTTGGCCAAACACAAAAGCCTTCTTGGTTTGCTTTACTTAAAAATTTCCCATGGTGACCTGGAGTGCAGATGGAGATGCTGCCTTCAGACTAATGTTATGATTCCCATTATTTTTTCAAATATCTCATACATGCAGCAGGGGATAAACTTTCTAATGGATCCAAGCCCAGGATAGGTTATTTTGGTTGGAGAGCGTGGAGTTAAGCAAACACATGGCCTTCATAAATTTCCCTGAATGCAAGAGAGAGAGAGAGAGAGAGAGAGAGAGAGAGAGAGAGAGAGAGAGAGAGAGAGAGAGAGAGAAGTGACTGTTTGCTCCCATACTGCATGCTCCCAAAGGTGGCGTGGGAGGGGGGTGTGCCTTCACGTGTCCCCTCCTTCCATTTTTCCTTGATGGTCAATCCTTCTCTCCATCAACAGAAACATCATTTCCTAAACTTCCAACCTGTCCCCAGCCTTCTTCCGTTGCCTCTAGCATATCATCAGGTTCACCACCTACTTGAACCATTCCACCTTCCCTTGATTCTTAAGTCAGTGCCCCCTTCTCCACCCCCACCTTCCTTTGAACTCTTTGGGATCAAACCATTTCTTGTATATCCACCCCACCCCACCCCACCCCACCAAATCCCTTAGGATGGCATTCAAGACATTCCACTTGCCTCCAACTGGCCTTTCTGAACTCGCCCCGAGCTGTGGCCCATATCGATCCTCTGCTTTAGCCAGCTTAGAGGGGAGCAGAGAGCCATGGAAATGTACCAGGAAGCATGCTAAGTATTTTGGGTGTGTTACATCATCGCATCCCCCCAACTACCCTCTGGAGGGTACATTATATTATTGCATTCTCCCAATAACCCTCTGTCTTTTTTTTTTTTAATAGATTTGCATCGATTTCAGATAGAGTAGGGTTAGGGAGGGAGGGAGAGAGAGAAATATTGATGAGAGAGAATCATTGACTGCCTCCTGCACACCCCATACCGGGGACTGAACCTGCAACCCAGGCATGTGCCCTGACCAGGAATTGAACCGTGATCTCCTGGTTCATAGGTCGACTCTTAACCACTGAGTGACACTGGCTGGGTGATTTCTGCCTTTTTACTAGTGAACAAAACTGAGCTTCACCCAGCTCATGAGGTAAGAGATAGGATTTCAAGCCTACACCCTCTCTTCTACACCTGCTGCTTCTTAGTCCTGGGATGTGCTGAAGCTGCCTTCACTCTCTTGTGCATATGGTGAATAGCCCCTCCTTCTTTTCGTTTTCCTAACCCTTACCTGTCTCCGGAGGTAAGATCCCATTCTTTCAAGTGGAAACAGCTAGGCAATGGGAAGCCTGAGTGTTGAGCTTACACAGATAGTGTCTAAAGCCTCAATCTGCCACTTACTAGCTGTGTGGCCTTGATCTCATCAGCAATCTTCTCCGAACCTCCGTTTTCCTATCTGTAAAATGGACATCATTGCACTGATTTCGTAGGGTTTGTTGTCAAGGGCCTGGTGCAGCACAATGCCTGACATGCGACAGGAATGTGATACAAGTCCTTTCTTGTCCTCCTTCTCTCAAAATGAATAAAAAGATACCAGCTGGTTTCCTTTTGGTTGTAGCCTCACAATGACAGTTGACGTCTCTCACATACTACGTTGCTTTCTTCCGTAGGACTGGAACGCCCACTGGCTCAGCTTTGATGCCTCACATAGATGCTTTTAAGCATTCTCTCCAGGAGAAGATGACGGAAATTGGGATAAGAAATGGCTGGAAATACGATAGCTACAAGAAAAGTTTCCTGATCCAGGAGGTAAGACTCGTAGATTGGGAAGAGAGGCATGAGGTTGGGTGGTGGGTTTCTTCCCAACAGGCTTTGGGATGCTGCCTGTCTCTCCAGACCAGTTCCTCTGCAGCGTCCAGGGTCCAGGGAACTCATAGCAGGAGCTGTGACATGCACAGCAGGGATGGGTGTGTGTGTAGGGGGGCAGCAGCAGTCCTGACTCAGCCGTGGAGGTGGACGCCAGGCCAGCTTCCTCCCACTGCAGCAGAGAGTAACCGCCAACATTGTACAGTAGATTCTGCTTTCAGGAAGAATCTTCAAAGGCTCCTTAGATGTACAAAAATTGGAATCCATTTGTGATGCTTTCAGGAACCTTCCTATCATTTCTGCCAATGTCACGAAGTATCATCCAAAGCAGTGAAGCATAAAGTATCATATTTTTGCAGATCGTTTTCTAGTTTCGAGTACTCAAGGCTTTTGCCTGTGACCCATATTCTTCAAGGCTGCCTTAGTCCTTCTGGGCTGCTCTCACAAAATACCATAAACTGGGTAGCTTGCCAACAACAGAAATGCATTTCTCACGGCTCCAGGCGCTGGAAGTCCAGGTCTAGGCGCAAGCAGACTTGGTATCTGGTTGGACTTGCTTCCTGGTCCAGAGATGGCTGTCTTCTCCCTGTACCCCCACATGGCAGAGGGGCGAGGGAGCACCCTAGGGCCTCTTCTACAGGGGAGTAATCCCAATCACGAGAGCCCCCCCCCTCATGACCTCATTTCCCCTCAAAGGGCCACCACCTACTGTCCCCACATTGCTGGGTGGGATTTCAATGTATGAATTGAAGGGGAAGGGGGGCCACAGATCTCAGTGGCAGGAGGTGCCATGCACACCATATTCAGTCCACAGCACATCCCAGCCCAAATTCATGGCAACACTAAGAAATAGCCTGTTCCTCCCCCACTGTCCCCCCAAAAGGTCCAGTTTCAGCATCTCACATGTGCCAGAGATCCACTCAGCAAATAGCTAACGGGATGTCTATAGGTGCAGGCACTGCGGGAAGCACTTTGGGATGTAAAGATGCTGCAGACACAGTTCCTGCCTATGAGAGGCTCACAGTCTAGCTGTGGGGAGGACGTGGGGAGGGCACAGTCTAGCTGTGGGGAGGACATGGGGAGGGCACAGTCTAGCTGTGGGGAGGACGTGGGGAGGGCACAGTCTAGCTGTGGGGAGGACGTGGGGAGGGCACAGTCTAGCTGTGGGGAGGACGTGGGGAGGGCACAGTCTAGCTGTGGGGAGGACGTGGGGAGGGCACAGTCTAGCTGTGGGGAGGACGTGGGGAGGGCACAGTCTAGCTGTGGGGAGGACGTGGGGAGGGCACAGTCTAGCTGTGGGGAGGACGTGGGGAGGGCACAGTCTAGTCGTGGGGAGGACATGGGGAGGGCACAGTCTAGCTGTGGGGAGGACATGGGGAGGGCACAGTCTAGCTGTGGGGAGGACATGGGGAGGGCACAGTCTAGCCGTGGGGAGGACATGGGGAGGGCACAGTCTAGCCGTGGGGAGGACATGGGGAGGGCACAGTCTAGCTGTGGGGAGGACATGGGGAGGGCACAGTCTAGCCGTGGGGAGGACATGGGGAGGGCACAGTCTAGCTGTGGGGAGGACATGGGGAGGGCACAGTCTAGCTGTGGGAAGCCACCTGTACCACAAGGCAGAAGGAAATGGTGACCTATGTCTGGTGGAGGAATTGCCACAAATGGCCTTTTGTTCGTGTGTATTCTCAGATAAGCGCCATCCTGGGCGGCCTGGAGGGCCACATCCTCCGGAAGAAGAGGAGGATCTATGAGTCTCTCACGAGCTCTGTTCAGAACGACCTGAAGCCCTGCTATGAAGGTGGGGCTCCGGAGGACGGCGGTTCTGCTCCCTCCCTCTGTCCGCACAGCATCCTTTTCTGCTGCTTCTCTCAAAGCCTCCTAAGTCCTACGTCCCCTGACATCCTTGGTCTACAAACTAAGACCAAACAATCTGAACAATTGCAAGTTTTGGGGAGAGGTAGTTGTTGAACCATTTTTTTCTCTGTTGCCAGTTCCCTCTGTCCTTCCTTTGCCTACACACCTTGCTTCTCCTCTCTGTGCTGCATCACAGCTACTCCTATATAACAAAAGGCTAATATGCAAATTGATCAAACAGCGGAACCACTGGTTACTATGATGCGCACTGACCACCAGGGGGCAGACACTCAATGCAGTGTGTTCCCACTGGGGGAGCCCCTGCTCAGCCAGAAGCCAGGCTCACAGGCTGGCGAGTGCAGCCGAGGTGGCAGGAGCCTCTCCCACCTCCACGGCAGTGCTAAGCCTTCAGTCGGATGTCCCCCGGAGGGCTCCTGGACTGTGAGAGGACAGAGGCTGGGCTGAGGGATGCCACCCTGAGTGCATATATTTCATGCACTGGGCCTCTAGTTAAACTATAAAATCCACCACCCAGCTGTCATTCTTATTTTTTTTTTAAAGTATTTGTAAACTTACTTAATATCTTCTCATTTTGGTGGCCCCATTAATTTCTTGGGTAGACCAGGGGTTGGAATTTTGTAAGCTTCTGCTTAATTCACTCATTTGATTTTCTGAATGATCGCTATCTAAATATTGAGAGTGTTAATTTTTGTATCATGTTATTAAACTATTTCCACTGTGTAGAAAATGGTACTACCTACAGAAATATATATGTGCATGCATCTGTGTGTGTGTATATATGTATATGTACTGTATATATCTGTGTTTTGTTTTTTTGCTTGTCTTTATTTCTGATGCTAATGGTTTCTGCACAAGCCCTTGCTGTGGTGTAACAGTGACTCTCATTTTTGCCAGAGGCAGCCCAGATCACTGGCAAAAAAGCGTGCGAGAGGATGAAAGATGTCATCCGAAGAGGGGTGGACCGGCAGGTGGCAGAGGGCATGTTTGAAAGGGCTCAAGAAAGGATGCAGCACCAGTTTCAGCAGCTGAAGGTATTGATTCCAGCCCACAGCCTACATTCCAGTCCCAGAGAGGCTCCTGGCGGGTGGAAGAAGCCAGCACAGGAGATGGGAGAGTGGTGGTCATTTGGGCCCAAGTAGAGTCCCACGTCTTCCACAAAGTGGGTCTAGCCAATGCCCATGGTGCCGGGAGAGGAGGCCAGCTGGCGCTGGGTATTCTCCCTTCACTGCCACCCCGTGATGGAGTCAGTTTCCTCTCTGGGGCTGTGACTTCAGCGATGCGGCCCCTCCAGCCTTCTCCTGCATCTTTCCCCTTTCACACGTGAGCAGGAGCACTGCAGTCTCTAGATGGGCTCCTGAGCCTTTCCTGTGCATTAGCTCGTCTCATCCCCAGCAAGTCTGTGAGGCAGGTACAGTCGGTCCTCCATATCCGCAGGTGTCACATCCCACACAGACTGAAAATAGTTGGGGGGAAAATCCCCAAAAGTTCCAAAAAGCAAAACTTGAATTCACCATACACCGAGCATCACACTCAATCTGGGTGAGTGAAGTGATGTGCAGATGTACCCTGCTGTCCCCTACATGCAAACTCGACACCATTTCGTATGAGAGATTGGAGCATCCTCCAATTTTGGTTTCTGTGATGGAGTCCTGGAACCAATCTTCCATGATACTGAGAGGTGACTGTACTATTATTGCTCCTATTTTGTGTATAAGAAAACTGAGGCAGGGAGGTATAACTCAGGCCACAGAGCTAGAAAGTTTCAGAACTAGGATTTAGGAGCAGGGAACCAGGCTCTAACATCTCCAACAAGAGCATAATCTCAACACAGATTTTTTTTTTTTTTAATGAGGGAAAACATCAATAAATAAATGTCAATCAGCCATACATAAAACATCAATAAATAAATGTCAATCAGCCATGTACAGAGCTCAGCATAGATTTAGGTTTACATAAAACATCAATAAATAAATGTCAATCAGCCATGTACAGAGCTCAGCATAGATTTAGGTTTACTTCTGTCTTTTTTTATATATATATTTTATTGACTTTTTTACAGAGAAGAAGGGAGAGGGATAGAGAGTTAGAAACATCAATGAGAGAGAAACATCAATTCAGCTGCCTCCTGCACACACCCTACTGGGGATGTACCCACAACCAAGGTACATGCTCTTGACCAGAATCAAACCTGGGACCTTTTAGTCCGCAGGTCGATGCTCTATCCACTGAGCCAAACTGGCTTCGGCTGCTTCTGCCTGTCTTGGAAGTCAGTTCCTAGCAGTTTCCTCAAACCTAAGTGCTGCTGTCAAGCCCACTTGGACCATCTTGTCTCAGCTCTAGGTCTCTCAGCTTGCCACCCCCGCTACAAGTCATATAAATTCTTTCTTTTAGTCCAAGCCACTGTTGGCCTCTGGCCCTGTGAGTTTCCACAGTCCAGGCTTCGCTGACCCTCTCCTAACCTTTTGAGGAGTCTGGCTACTTGCTCTGTGGGTTCATCTCTGGACCAACCAACTTCCTAAAACATCTCCAAACTGCCTCTGCCCCTACCCCACTGCAGTTTAAGAAAGCACATGTACCCACACTACAAAACATGAGCTTTCTCTTGGAAGAGGCTAAGGGGTTTCTAGTTTACCAGTAGAAATTTGCTTTCTGTCATTTAACATAAATTGATATCACAATCTGCAGCAATTGGCCAGACTCTACACTATCCAATCCTCGCTGGGTATATAGAAATCGGCCCTTCAGGTGCCCAAGAAAACAATTCCACTAAAAAAAAAAAATCAGTACATTGACCATATAAAAATGTATCTTACATGATGTTCATTGTAGGAAGTTGAACTAGGGCAAGACCACAGAGCGTCCCCATTCCCTGACTTTAGGGACAAGAAAGCTGACACCCAGTTACTAACTAAGGCTCAAGAGCTAGGGCTGATGCTGGAGCTTAGAGTTTAGGCCCGGTATGTTGAAGAGAAAAGCGTAAGACTTGGAATCAGAAGACCCAGGTTCAAAACTAGGCTTTGTCAGACTAGAGGAGAGAATCAGGTATTTTTCAAAGTGAGGCCAGAGCTGGTTAGAAAGGGAACATGGTTTTAGGTGACAGAAGGTCTGGGAGGAGCAAGAAGAAATTTGTCAAAAATGTGGGAAGAAAAATCAGGATTGCCAACTATGGTGTCTCGCACAAAGCAGATACTCAATAAACATGCACCCAGTGACTAATTGCGTGATAGAATGGTGGGACCATGGTGGGACTTTCCCTCTTTTCCATCTCTTCGGATGCTGTGATCTCTCCCACACTTCCATGAAGCCTCAGTAGGTCCTGATTCCATCCATCAGCACCAGAGGGATAGTCCCTCAGGAATCTGGAAAGGAGATGCTGAGACAGGTGGGACCCCACAGAAATGTTGCCCCGATGACTCCTGAGCCGTTCTGTGCACTCTAAAGTGGCCCACCTTGGACCTGACTTTGACTTTGGCAGCCCCAGTCTGCGCACTCTGATTGGGGAAATGGGAGGGACCCCCTTTCCTAAGACTCCCTTTCCTGTGAGCTGTACCATCCTAACAGAAGGACCATCCTTTGTTGTGCAGCATGGGATCACGGAGAAGGTGAAGGGCAATATCGCCACCATGCTGACCCTTGCTTCATCCCAGGGGGATGGTCTCTACAAGGAGCTTGCAGGTAAATACATAAAATCTTTGCAGAAAGGGTGATGGCCTTGCAGACACTTCCTCCTACCCCAGGTGTGGTGGCTCTTTCCCAGATTTAAATAAATTAAGTTAGGAAAAAATTCCAGGGGAAGGAAAAGAGATTTTGAAGACGACTATGACCGCCCCACCCTTTGCTGAGGACCCCACTGAGACCAAGCACTGTCCCTGGCTTTGTGCTCCACATCTCATTGAATCCTCACAGTAGCCCTTGGAGACAGATGTTATTGCTTCATTTTGCAGATGCAGAAGCAGAGACTCAGATGAGATAATGTGCCCAAGGATCCATAGCTGGAAAGGGGCAGATTCAAATCCATAACTTATGATATCAAACATGGGAAGAACTCTGGTTATGGTAACTTGGTACCGTGATTTGAAATTGTTACAAAGAATCAAGTAACTTTATATAGTACTAGAGGCCCAGTATACGAAATGCATGCACTCAGGGGGGTGGGGGAGTTCCCCAGCCTGGCCTGTGCCCTCTCAACAGTGCAGGAGCCCCGAGATCAATTGCCCCAAAGATGTAGGCCCCGCCCACCCATCCAGGGCTCCTTGATGGATTGACCAAAAGAGGTAGGCCAGAGCCGGAGGTCTCGCCGCCTCCTCGCCATGTGGAGCCGAAGGACCCTCAGGCCTCACCATGCAGAGCAGCTGCCAGTCCCCACCTCCGCTGTGCACACAGCCATCTTGTGGTGGTGTGAGGGCATCACGGCATGACGACCACTTAAGCTTTTATTAGTGAGGATAGTAGCAGCATGAAATGATCTCCAAAATATAGTAAGTAAAGTAAGAAAAATGTGTGTAGTGTATTGCCATTTGTGAGAGAGAGAAAGGCAGCACATATGTTCATGCATAAAAATCTCCACAGGATAGACAAGAAACTGGTCACACTGGTTAGCTCTAAGAAAAGGAACTGGGGGACTGGGATGGCAATCTGTCTGTGTTGTGCCTTTTACACTTGAAACCATGTGCACAGTTGCCTGCTGGATGCTATTGCTGTGTGTCATTGAGCCTGTCAGGGTGAGAGTGGTCAGAGCTATTTCCAAAGAAAAAGCCACAACTGCTACTGCTAAACATCTGTCCTGCTCTGAATGTTCTCTCAGGAAGGAGACACAGCACCCTCACCATGTGGTTAATTGTCCTCTCTCATGACCCTCTGTCCAGGCCTTCACAAAAACCAGTTTTAAGATTATACTCATCCAATTGTGTCTTTTAAAAAAAAAAAATCCTCACCTAAGGATATGTTTTTCTTATTAATGAAAGAGAGAAAAAAGAGAGGGAAAGAAAAAGAGAGAGAGAGAGAGAGAGAGAGAGAGAGAGAGAGAGAGAGAGAGAGAGAGAGAGAGAGAGAGAGAGAAAGAGAGAGAGAGAGAGAGAGAGAGAGAGAGAAACAATGATGTGAGAAACATCGTTCAGTTGTCTCCTGTACACACCCCGACCAGGGATTAAACCTACAACCTAGATATATACCCTGACCAGGAATCAAACCCACAACCTTTTGGAGTACAGGATGATGCTCCAACCACCTCAGCCACCCCAGCTGGGGCCAACTGTGTCTTTATTTATTTATTTATTTATTTATTTATTTATTTATTTATTTAATATATTTTATTAATTTTTTACAGAGAGGAAGGAAGAGGGATAGAGAGCTAGAAACACTGATGAGAGAGAAACATCAACAAGTTCACAGCATAGAGAGCCAATTCACTTAGCCTGGGGACCACTGTGGGGAGGGACCTCGGGGAAGTTTAGCATGTGGGGGGCATGGCACCTCCTGCCACTGAGCTCCTGGGAGGCCCTAGCCCCAGTGCCGGCCCAGACCCATTTTCCAGGCAGGTTTGGTTATTTGACAGCGGCCCAATGCTGAGATAAGCCTTACGGTAGGAGCAAGAATGCTGGGTTTGGTCAGATTATTTGAAAAAAAAAACAAAACGAATCTATTAGACGATCTGATCCTCAAGCTTTAACGCCGACCCTCACATTCTGGGACAAGTGACTCAGGTCATAAGATGATTCTTAGGGGATCTGTTTGCTGGGGCGTTTCTGGAAAGGACGCTAACTCCCGCCATATGCTTTCTGCTCCTCCACAGACGTCAAGAGTGAGTACAAGGAGATGGAAAAGCTGCACAGGAGCCTGAGGGAGGTGGCTGAGAACGCAGCGCTTCGCAGAGGCATGCAAGACTTCCTCCTGAGAATGTCCCCCAGCAAAGCCGGCCCCCCCAGAACATGAATTTAATTCTTGGCACCAAGTGGATGAGAAACAACCCTGGAGCCAAACGATGAGAATTACTTCTGTTTTTGTAAAATCTAATAAAAACCATCTCCCAGCTGTTTGGGCTTTGGATACACTATAAAACCCAGTAGATTGTTAGTTGTGGCAGAAGTGGATGACTGAGCAACACCATCTCACGTTGATTCGCTAGCCAAAGAGTCGTCTTGACTCCTTAGTGGGGTTCTAAAGCTTTAGGGACAAGAAACTTGTGTTTCACCAAAGAAAAAATATCGAAACACAGAAAAATGTAAACATTAGGGGTAAAACCATTGCAAAATAAAGTTTTGGGGGACTCAAATGTATTGACCGTTTTAATGCTGATGAGACTTTTGGGTAAGGAGGCAACACTGTGCTGTGGAAACAACATGGGTTTGAGAGTCAGCCGGATAAGAGATCTGGCTTACCACCTCTCAGGAGTTTTAATGAGAGTCGGGGCCTCTCACACATTTTGATCTCAGGATCCTGTGCTCTTAAAAATGATGATAATTTATGTGAGTTATACCTATCCTCACTGCAGTCAACATTAAAAGTGACCAAAACTGTAAATAATTATTTACTGATCTATTTGAAACTAACAATAATAAATCTATTATATGTTAATATAAATAACATGTTTTATGAAAAAAAAAACTTTCAAAATAAATTTATTAAGAAGAGTGCCATTATTTGACACTTTTGCCAATCTCTGTATTCTCTGACTTAATAGAAGACAGCTGGACTCTGTCTGATTCTGCATTCAGTTCGGCACAATATATCTTTCTGGTTGCTGTATATTAAAAAAATACGGTCTCATGCAGATATAGAGTGGGAGTACAGAAGAGCATTTTCATAGCCTTTTCAGATAATTACTGGGTATTCTTTAATATGACCATCTTGACAGGTGGTAGTTTCTTAAAGGTTAGTTGTAGTGTGGAATCTGAAACCATATTGGTGAACTGTTTTTAAAATTTGATTTAATTTTTTTCCATGTCTCTATGCCCTCTACCACATCACACATCCCCCTCCACCCTGCAGTGCTGTCCATGTCCATAATTGGTGAATTCTTAAAATATTCTGTCATATTAAAATACATTTCTATCTCATGCTTTCAGTGTATCTTTTACATGATTTGGTGGCATCAGGCATTAGTCATTTTGAAAATATTTTTCATTAAGTCAAGCAGGTCTTCCAAAATGTTGACATATTATCTTTATAATAATAATTTAAAAAATCACATTTGTTAAAATCTCTACCAATGTCATCAGGAAGGTCTTGAAGTTTTGGGAACCTGCCAAGTTTATGATAGAGGATACAAGTTCTACAAAATTCCATTTTCCCCCCCTCAGATCTTATCTTATGATTAGCAACAAATATTGTCAATTGTTTTTTCTGAAGGTACAGATCATTGCATTAACTCTTGAGAAAATATCCACCATATAATCAAGTGTGATTAACCATAGTTTACCTGTCAATAGTTATTTAAAGTAAAAATAATGTTGTGGAAAAGAAATGTCAAGTGTAACTCACAATGCAATCATACAAATGTTTTTCCTTGAGATATTTTACATCCTTGTGAGAATTTTTTTTTTTTGATAACGGCCAATTTTTTTTTTTTATCCTTTCCCTTTTTCATTCCTCCCTGCTAGACTTCCTTCCACCTCATGACCATAATTTTTTATCTGTATCTATGAGTTTGTAAAGAAATTTGCTTTAAATATAAAGTCACAGTAGGTTTGAAGTGAAAGAATGGAAAACATATACTTGTAAACTCTAACCTAAAGAAAGCCAGAGTTGCTGTATTAATATCAGACAAACTTCAGAGCAAGGGATTTTTCCAGAGATAAAGAGAATCATTGCAATGATAGAACAGTTAATTCATCAAGAGGACATGACAATCATACTAGTTATGCCATTAATAGAAAAAGTTTCACAAATTTCACAAAGAAAAAGCTGATAGAACTGAAAGGAGAAATAGCCAAAATACTTGGAAACTCAACAGCCCTTCTCAATCATTGCTAGAATAAGAAGAGAAACTCAGAAAGGGTACAGAAGACTTGAACAACATGCCAACCAACTTTGTAAACTAATATTGATAGAACGCTTAATAGAGCATCCGCATACAAATCCATTTCTGGTGTACTTGGAAAATTTTCCAAGGCAGACCATATCCTGAGCCACAAAACACGTAACAGTACAAGTACTGAAAATGTACAGCGTCTATTCTCTGACCACAATGAAATTAAATTAGACACCAATAACAGAAAGACATCTGGAAAATCTCCAAATAGTTGGAAAGTAAACAACACACTTCTACATAACCCAGAGGCCAAAGGAGGGCTGTGGACTAACATCCTGTTGGGTTTATAGCTCTCTCCTCTAAATTTTTGTTTTGCTCAAATGAAATTACCCCGTTGCTCTCAGGAGCCGTGGCATTAACTCCAGCCAAAGCACAGAAGGTTAGTAAGAGCTGGCACTGGCAGTGGGGGGCTGTTCGGTAACTGCCTGAAGAATGTAACCCAGAGCGGTCTGTCAGGCAGGCCCCAGAGCTGCAGAACAGAACAAAAGGGGAAGAAGCTGGGGTAGATTCTGAATCCTGGTTGGAGGCATCAGGTTGACGCTAACATGGATTCGGGAGAGCAGGGCCGACTGATGCCAGAAGGAAAGGAGCTCCTTCAACACCCAGGGCAGAATCAAGGGGCACACAGGAGGTTTTTCAGGAGGTTAACATCAGGAGCAAGAGTCTCGGGTAGTGTTCCCATGGACACCATCACGGCTTCTACGTCACAACAGAGCCATCTTCCAGGAAAGGGAGGACTGGCTAGAGTTAGGCAGGCAACTCCATCAGAGACTGGGTCCAGGTGTACCCTCCACACTTACATGACAACTGTCATAAATGGCGGCTTTAACGCATTAAAGCTATTACATTTAATTTCACTCATTTGTGGATAATAACATTATAAACTGATGAACAAAAAGATAGACACAGAGGCAGTAAAGCATCAAACAGACTGTCAAATTATAGCAGGAAGGTTAGGGAGAGGTGGGGGAGATAAGAGATCTACTGAAGGACTTGTATGCATGCATATAAGCACAACCAATGGACTCAAAACACTGGGGACCGAAACTGGTTTGGCTCAGTGGATAGAGCGTCGGCCTGCGGACTGAAAGGTCCCAGGTTCGATTCCGGTCAATGGCATGTACCTTAGTTGCTGGCACATTCCCAGTGGGGGGGGTGCAAGAGGCAGCTGATTGATGTCTCTCTCTCATCGATGTTTCTAACTCTCTATCCCTCTCTCTTCCTCTCTGTAAAAAATCAATAAAATTTATTAAAAAAAAAAACACTGGGGGGTGAGGGCATGTATGGAAGTGGGGTGTGAGGGCCAATGGTAAAATATGTAAACATATTACCTTAATTTAAAAATTGAGGGGAAAACATATTACCTTAATAAAAAAAATTGAGGGAAAAACACTTAGCCAATTAAGTCTACTTAAGAAAGCAGAGCAATGAACATTTTAGATGGCACACCACTCAAATAGTAAAAATAAAAACTGAGTGTCTTAGGGGGAAGGCGGGGGTGAGTGGGAAGAAATTAACCAAAGAACTCGTATGCATGTATGCATAACCCATGGGCACAGAGAATGGGATAGTGAAGGCCGGGGACGGAGATGAGCTGGAAGGGGTCAATGCAGGGAGAAAGGGGACATATGTAATACTTTCAACAATAAAGATTAAAAGCACACACGCTTGTGTGTGTTAATGACAAAAGGGAATGTGTTGTCTGTGCATTATCGGCTGCCGCCAGATAAGTGAGGTGTTAGTATTAAAATGCAGCGACATCAGCATCTCAATGTCACAGAGACGATGGAGGAGACCCCTCACGTTCTTTGAAAGCATTATCCCATGTACATACAGTTAGTGCAATCAACTGACCCTCGGTTTGTCTGTTTCTTTCACATTTCTCCCCATTCCAGATGAATTACCCAGAACTGTATGAATTTGCACCAGTTTGTCTTCAGTCTGTTATGTCATAATCCAATTGCCTCCCGTCCCTTTCCCCAACCACACCGTTTAATCTGATTAGGAACAAAGAGAAAATTGATGATGATCCATGAAGTCTGGATAAGACCATGTTCTAGATACCCTCCATGATAAAAAAAAAAAAGAAAAAAACCTCTCTAAATATTTTAAAATCTTTCTGCATGGTCTACATAAAAGTCCTTTCAGTTATTTCCTCCTTGGAAGAAGCATATGAGATATTGCTGCTGGAAAGAGGGCCAATTATGTGACCAGGATCTTTGTCTTTTGGCATCATGTGGAGGAAAATGCAGACTTTGCCTCCAGCTAGAAGACAAAACAAAACAAAACACAAAAAACACTGCACATAGCTGGTAAGAGGAAAGCTGATGACTACCGCCAGGGAGACAAAATCCAAGGCAAATGATTCCCATATTCTTTCTCCCTCTCTCCTTCCCCCATCTCTCTCAAATCAAAAGCTGTAGGAGAGAGAAGTTTTTGAAAACCTGATAGACATCACCATCATGGTTCAGCAGTTGGGCATCGACCTATGAACCAGGAGGTCATGATTCGATTCCTGATCAGGGCACATGCCCAGGTTGCAGGCTTGACCCCCAGTGTGAGGTGTAAAATATGTAAACATATTACCTTAATTTAAAAATTGAGGGAAAAACATATTACCTCAATATGTGGGGCATGCAGGAGGCAGTCAACCAATGATTCTCTCTCATCATTGATGTTTCTATCTCTTCCTCTCTCTTTTGCTCTGAAATCAAAAAACATATATTTAAAAAAGAAGAAAACCTGGTAGAATTGTGGGAACGATGGATCTACCTGTGTCATAGAAAGAAATGAGGGCAAGTTAAACATTCCTATTCAACCCAGATGGGCATGCCAACAGTGGGTAGCAGCAATTGATGACAGTGAAGGGTTTTATTTAGGCATGCATTTCTTTACATCTGAG